TGTGAGGAGCTCTCCTCTGTATCTATTATTGTTCAAAAGTTTATAATGGTCTCTATTATCCATGAATGAGTGAGATCATGCAAGGCTGTTTTTATGTAAAGGCTGCTTTTATGTAGAGCTGGGCTGCTGTGTGTGCAATGGCTCCTATGTTTGCTTAGGTTGTTTTGTGCAGCTACTGCTTAGTAAGCTACTTTGAAGAACTGCTTTGTCTAATGGCTACTTAGCAGCAATGGCTACTTGGTCTAAAATAAAGACTCTCTTATACGCCTTCGACTTCTCATGTCTTCTCCGTCTAATACTCGGCGTCCATGAAGGTCCAGTTCTTGGCAGAAAAAGACCTGTGCTCCCAGTTAGCATAGTCAAGCAGGATCAAAGAATAAGTACTCCAACAGTTATAAAATTTTACAACTTCGATGTATTATGTTCTACAGGCACATCAATAATTTGCACAAATTTTGAAGCTATCTAGATGGCAAAGGTATTTATCTCAAATTTCAGGTCTAAAAGTTTCCTTGTGTTCTAGGCAAAACTCATACATTGATTATATTCATTTATTTGGCCCAAAGATGTAAGGCTAGAAATGACCGCTGGTCACCTAAGCCCAGTGTATTGAGGACACAATGAAATGAATGTAATTTGGGTTAAAAAACCATTGCTAACTGCTGGGAAATAAGAGTTTGACTGCTTTAAGGATAAAAAAGATTCATAAGTAAGGAACAACACTGATCTGAAAAAAGTGAGTAAAACAACTGCTTTGAATAAGATAAAATTACGTAAAGTTGGTGAATAATAAAAAGGTAACTATTAGCTAAAATTATTTCCAATTGCTAGTTAAAACGAACACCAGATGAGAAAACCAAACCATTAATTACCATCTAATACAACCAAATTCCAATAGTATGAATTAATTTGGTTATAATCTGAAAGTTTTAGCAGAATTTGCCAGTATGAGTAATCTGAGGGAACATTAATGTAAGAAAAATTATTTCTAGCAATAGCACTTTCTCTAGATTTGTAAAAATCTAACTTTAGAAAGTTCCCTGCATGCATCTCACAAAGACTGGGTGAGTTGGAGAGTAGGGGCCATAGTCAGGGTGGTAGGGGAGGAGGAGGAGGCAGTGGCAGGAAATAAATGGCTCTGAAGCAGGACCAACGTCTGAATTTCAGGAGGGTTAGTGAGTGCTGTGCTTTCATAGGCCTCCCCCTTTTTTTTTAAATCCTCACCCAAGGATATATTTAGGGAGGGAGGGAGGGAGAAAGAGGGGTGGAGGGAGAGAGCGAGAGAATGCTCGGAGTGAGGACTGAACCCACAACCTAGGTATGTGCTGTGACCAGGAATTGAACACTCCACTTTTTGGTGCAACCAACTGAACCACCCAGCCAGGGCAACAAAGCTGCTTTTGAATGCTGGCGGTTCTATTCCTTTGACACTACTCACTTTTATAATACGTTTCTGTTATATGACAAAGTGCTCTAATTCCTAATGCAAAAGGTTGAATTTAGTACTATAACTGAAGATACTCATCCACTTATGGTTTTTTTTTAAACTGGTGCTTAAAGAATCCAACCTTTGCAAATCATCTATATTGTTCCTTAGGCATTTTATCTTTGCTCAGATTGTTGAAAAGTGGTGGCTTGTTTTGTGACTAATGCACGTTTTACCTTGACAGATGCAATGCACTGTGTAGCTACAATTTTCTGGAAAAGTAAATCTTTTAGGAATTGTTATTCAAATCTTCAAAGAAAACATCTAATAAAACCCAACATGCATCCCCGATACTTAAGCAGCTTAAAAAAAAAAAAAAAGGCAGAGTATAGGAGGTAAACCACCAACAAGACAGAAATCAAACCTGATGCCATGACCCCGAGGGAAAATCCTACTCAGACCAAAAACAGAACAGATCACTTCTATCACCACTGTTGTTCAGATATCACCAATTTCACAAGACCAAAGAAAGAAATATTGAAAATAAGGGAAACAAAATAGTTATTTTTAGCAAGTGGTCAAACTCTCTATCTAGAAAGTAACTTTAAAATTACCACAGTAAGAGAATTTTCTAAAGTGGCTGGAGACACAAACACAAACAGAAATCAATAGCTTTATCACAGTTAGAAAAGAAAATGTAGGAGAAAAAAGATCTCATAATCATAGCAAGATAATTACAAAATTATAACATATTTAGAAATTGATCTGAAATAAATAACAACTATGAAGAAAAAAATTCTTTTGCTTAAGGAATTAAAATGAAGAGCTGAATATAGTTATGTTCCTAAATGGAAGACTGAAAATGTAATCATGTTAATTCTCAGCCAAATTGATCTATATATTTCATGCAATTTTAATCAAAATAATTTTTTGAAGTGTAACCTCAAATGATTAAACTTAAAGATCCACAACTATAAGCAAGAAAATGAAAGAAGAAAATATATAAATCTTTCCTAAGCAAGACAAAGACATCCAAAAGCCATAAAGGAAAAGATCAACAGATGTAACTACCTAAAAATATAAGCCCTCTACCCTGGCCAGGTGGCTCGGTTGGACCTTCGTCCTGGACACCATAAGCTGGTGGGTTCAATTCCTGATCAGGGCACATACCCAGGATGCCAGTTCAATTCCCATTCTGGGTGCGTGCTGGAGGCAACTGACCAATGTTTCTCTCTGTCTCGAAGAAAGACATTCTCAGGTGAGAAAATAAAAATAAACAGAAACCCTCCAAGCAATAAACAAAAACAAAAAACCAACAAAGCTAAAAACCAGGAAAAAAAGGGTTACTATGCTTCCATATTTAAAAAAACACACAAAACATTCAATATTATCCCATTTTTTGGGGGGGGGGAGGCAACCAAATTTTTGGTGGCCTTGTTTCAACAAGGCTGAAAAAAAAATTCATAAATCAGTATAAAACCCACGGCAACAATAGGAAGTCGGGCAGTTGCTGTTAATAGACAGCTCTCAATGAAACACAGTGACATGAAACACCACCCCTAATAGCAGCAGAGGTCAAACCATTGACAAAATCAGAAGGACCACAGCTGAACCAAATGGTCACTTTAGGGGTGGGAATACAGGGACTAAAATTTTCTACATTCTGTAATTTTTGAATTTTATAAAATGAAAATGCAATACTTTTGTAGCTAAATAAAAAAGAAAACAATTATTTTAAAAGCTAATTTACATATTCCTTTCATGAGATTTTACAAAGATATATTTACTACCTCTTGGTCCAGGTTATATTCTTCATTTGAATTAAGTGCAACCTTCACAGTAATATAATCCCCATTTTTCACAGCATCTCTCAATAAATCTAAAATGAAAGAAACGATATTAGGTTTCTGTATCTAGATTTATGAAAAGGATCCTCATAACTCCCACACTACTCACTACTTGGAATGGCATCTGTTACAGAAAAGTTCTCATCTTCCCCATCAAGATGCTTTTGAAAATCTTCTAGTTTCATCCATTCCAGCTGCAGGTCCATGCCCAGACTCAAAATCTGCTGTCTGCCATCTGGAACACAGAAGGGCTTTAAAATACTTTTTTCTGTACTGACTTAACCAAAACTTTATATACACCTTTAACATATGTCATTATGTAACTGAGTCTTCAATGAAATTTCTGATTTTCTTTGGCGAGTAAACATAAACTACCCATATTTAGAAGTTACAGTGCTTCAAAAGCTTAAAGATAAATTGGTAAACTATTAATTATAAAATAGTAAAATATGAATTTTAAGTATAAGATTAAGTAGCTCAAAGGAAGAGAGAAACTAGAGTAAGAGGAACTGCTAACATTTCTTTCTTTGGCCATTCTTCTTGTACATTGCTTTCAATCATTGGAAATGTGTAAATCAGACATGTGTGTAAATAACAGTAAATGCCCTTTGATCCTTCCAGACTCGGATCACACTTTTCCTCCTGAAAGCCCTCTCTATTGAGTGTACTCCAGGCCCCACCACCACCATTAAGCAAATGCTGGTCTCAGCTGTCTGATCCCTGGACTCAGTAAGTGAGTCTTAAACATAACTCATTTGGGAGAAATTAAAAATGACTGAAAAGCACAAATAGTTAAAGGATTTTACCTAAAACCAATTCCTCAAATGACACAGATGTTAGGCAGTTAACCTTGCCATAGAAATGGACTTTGTAAAAGCAATGCAAATACACTTCTCCCAAAGCTCTCAACTGGAACCAGCACTGAGCATGGAGACATGACAGCACAGCCTCGAGTGACACACCTAGATCTGTACTCCAGCTACCTGTTAGCTGTGTGACTTTAAGTCACAGAACTCACTGCACCTCCCTCTCTGAATAGAAAAAGCAGCTAACACTCCATAAGGATTATGTAATTATTTCTGTGAATTAATGCATTTAGACTATAATGACCTGTGAGGTCACCGTCGAGGAAAGCGAGCCACCTCCTCCCAAAACTGTGGGAAACCACAAACCACAGGAAGCACTGAGGAGGCCATACAAATGAGAGGCCATATAAATGGAGACAAGGCCATCTAATTTACAGGATTGTTAAGTAACAGAACACAGAGCTCCAAATCAAGAGCTCTCTTCCCCATGAATCTATCTGGTTTTTAAATCTGCAAGGACCTGATTCTGAGGTGTCTGAACATGCCCAGGTAAGTGCTGTTATCTCCTGCTATAGTTTTATACAGCAGCCTCAACAGAACATGGGGCAATTACTGCTGATGCCTGATACATGGTCTAGTTGGGCAACCTGTCCAGTGGGGTTACAGCTGTTATTCAACCCAACACAACACTGTCTGTATGGAAACAAAGAGGGCCTGCAGCAGCCAGTGGGCTGAACTCAGTAGCTTGGCTGATGATCAGTCAAGAGCCCTGGCCATTAATACTTTGCACTAATAGGTGGGCTATTCTAAAGGGGTTGACCCTACGGCTCAGACAGTGTGAAGCCACAGGTGGATGATCATGAGTGAGCTTTTGTCGGGTCAGGACATCTGGAAAGACATTTGAGTCCACCTGCAAGAGCCTAAGGCTCCTCACTTTTCCACATCCCAACATGAGGCACTGACACCCGCTGGCAATCAGGAAAGTGAGCCCCTAACAGCTGACCCTTCAGTGGATGCAGCAGATAGGTACACAGGAGTGGCCACCACAGCGCCTGGGTGGGATGGGAGTATCGCTCCAGAAATAGTGACTTGTTAATGCAGTGACAGTATTAAACAATTCATAGGGCAACTGCCACAGGAGTTGGGGGCCACACATTCATTGTATCAGCCCCTCCCTCCAAGTGGGGCAAACTAAAGCTATTCTCTGTTGCTATGCAAACCAGGCTGCCACTACTAGAGGATTAGAGAAGTTGAGAAGACAGTGATGGGGTCACGTTTTAGAGATCACAGTGTGCTAGCCTGGGCAAAAGAACATGACACTGACTGGAGGCCCATCCCCCTTATGACCTGCAGGCAATAGGGCTGGTAGAAAGGAATGAGTAGTAAAGCCACAGATTACATTACTACCAGGTAAACCGCCTTACCAAGGTGGGCTAAAGTACTATCCCAGGCTTCCATACAGTTGAATGATCAGCCAGTAGGGCCCATTGTCCATATGACAGACTAGGGACCCCTGTTGAGGTACCTAATGCCATAAAGCAGGGGTGAGGAACGCCTGCCTGGCCCTGGGCCCACAAAATCATTTGGTCTGGCCCTGCCAAGGCATTAGGGGTGAGTTAATTAAATGTTTGACCAAATACAGCAGGCTAATTTTTCTAAGTTAATAATTTTGTATGGCTGGCAAATAATGTTATAAATATCCCAATAGCCCTTGGCAGAAAAAAGGTTCCCCACTCATGCCATAAAGGAACATAAGTCACAAGAGACAGTCATTGCCCTGACTCGAATTGTGGACCAAAGTGCTGTGCTGCTAAGAACATGAAGCCCCCCTCACACCTGGGAGAGGCATCCATCATCTATAGGAATTTGCAATGAGATGTCCCACCGGGATGAGGGTGACTTGGCATCCCAGGTGAGGGGAACTACACTGGGATCCTGCTGTCCTGCCAGATGACCCGTGGAAAAGCACCTGGAAAGAAACATGCACCACAGAGAGGAGATGAGCCGGGGGTCCCGGTCTGGCATGTTCTACTCCCAGCAGTCCATCTCCTCACCCTGTGTGCTCCAGCTGACATGGATGGTATACATGTCCTGGTCAAGTTCCTAAAGTTGCCAACCCCCCTCTCCTCAAGGCCAGATTCGGTTTCCCATGGATGCCATCATTCAGCCACCATCTCTGTTCCCTCCATTGCCCTGGATGATGTTATGACACACAAGAAAGCCCCTACACTAAGCTCACCCAAGCCTTGAATGTTAGCCAACAAAGCCCATCTTTATTGAATACTGAAAAGTCCCTAAAAGAAAGCTGTCCTCTGAAGCAGGATGGCTTGAACATTACTACTGCCTCACAAGAAGGCAGACCTGTGCCACTGTCCAAACACAATGTGTTCACACCATTAGTCTGCTAATGTATCACATTGAGGACACAAGTGAATGCACTGAGTGATCTGACCCCTAGCCTAGCAGACTTAATAAATCAGTGGTTCTGATCTTGGGGCTTAAAGGAAAAATTATTACTTGCTTTGGGAATCATTGTCTTAACCTGTTATTGCTTGCATATGCCTGTACTGTGGCTGTGGTGTCTGTCTCCAATGCAACCAGAGAGAGGCCAAATGAGCCACTTCCATGCTGTGAAAACCCATGCTGACCCCTCAAGGGCACATTGCGGAAGAGGAGGCATGTGACATTGTAAGAGCCAGTCACAAGGGGTGGAGTGTTGGAAGAGGTCATTCAAAGGACATGACCATCGACTGAACATCATAGGCAACTGGAGGTTCCCTCAACCCTCCCATACCTAGAATGTATCTCATCACCGCCATTCTCCCACAGTGGGAGCCACTTCAGGGATGCAGCCTTGATAGCAGAAGGTATTGTGAGACCACCTGGACTGAACACATGACTGAACATCATTTAGGCCTCTCTATAAACTTTAAGACTTGGCAGGCAGTTTGGAGATCTCTTTGCCTCACAGTCTCCCAAGATGAGCCTTGTATGTAAGTCCCTTGCTTATTCTACTTGCCAACTACCAATTTGGGGTGGCTGCCTTCCAGTTTCTCCCTGCCCTCTGTGTAAAGGGTGGTTCAGATGTCATCTGGGGATGCCCAAGGGTACAAACCAACATCTACTGTGTGTGTTCACTGCCTGGTATCCCAAACAGCAGAGCTGCTATTTGGCATTTGGCCTCAGGGCAAGCCATTTCCTCCTCTCCCTTGTCTATACATAGGTCCTAGCAATTGTCCCAATTTCCTATAAGCTAATGCATCTAAAAGCATGATTTACCTGATACCCAGGGCCTAATTGTTTTGTAGTAACAAGGCAACCCAGACTATCCACTCTGCCATATATTCTGTAACATTAATTCTCTTCAACTGTTTCAAGATTCAAATGATACAGTTTTATCAGATTTATTCTGTCCTAGTTATAAGTACATATATATTGCACTCTTTCTGTTACCCTCACAGCCATGTGCCCAATATTCCACACATTGACCTCCCTCCTCAGCCAATCCCAACATCATCAGGAGGGCATTTACAAACATGCCATTTAGCAAGTGTCATTTGCTGCAAAGTTAAAAGGATAGAATATAAGTAAGTCTGCATTTGATAATTTTCTGAAAGAAATCCATTAGGTATACAATCAAGCTACTTGGCAAGAGTGATAAAGGCAGAATACCTGAAATTTGTACAATTTCAAAATGTGCTGGTCACATCATAGGGACTTATAAAATATTTGTGTGGTCAATTTAAAAACCACAGAATGGCCTAAGTTTTCAATTTAAAAAGCTGTTTATTCAGGAAATTGAAACAAAATCGTCTATGCCTTTATTTTCTGATCTTGAGTTACAATGGGAAAAAATGAGGTGAGTGAAATCATACAGCCCTGAGAAAATATGCAAACTGACTGCAAACACACTCACCAGAATTCTCGTCGGTTGGGCATATACCATCTAGAACATCCTGATCACCTTCTGCAGCTATACATGCCCATGTGTCAGTCTCATCTCTTGTATTTCTCCTTTCTTTAAGTACCTGATTGTTTTCCTTGGTTTTATGATCTTCTGCAAAATTATAATCCAGTGGTGTTTCTTCTCTTTTCTGATTATTCTCAGGAAAATCATTTTTTCCTTCTGGAGTTAATTTAAATAAATCAAATGCATTTCTGATTTCCTTAAATGCTAGTGAAAAAAATAAAAATGGTAATGAATAGGAACCATAATTTCTGTTGTAATCAAAAGAAAATCTGGGTTTGTGTTAAACAAACAGGTATTTCCTTAATTTTTACTAATATCTTCCTTGGTTCTAAAGCATCATTAGGTTTGTACTATCAAATCCATGAAGCTGTTTCAATTGGTCTTTCTATTGGCTGCTCAATGCTTAGAAAGGGTTTACATAGAAAGTGAATGGCTGTTTTCCACTGTTATGAACCATTCCCAGTTTTGACAAGATAGTCAGCCTCAAAATAACCCCAGTCATACCACCAACTGTCCTGCTTAGACATCTGCCTACAACTGTAATCTGAAGCTAACATTGTACACAATGATCTCTGGGGTGAGTGGGGAAATGGGAGGGTACCATGCCAGCACACTGACTGTGCATCTGGTAGAAATTAGCGGATGCATGTGAAACTCCACACAAATTTTTAAAAAATATATATTTTTATTAATTCCAGAGAGGAAGGGAGAGGGAGAGAGAGACAGAAATATCAATGATGAGAGTCATTGATAGGCTGCCTCCTGCATGCCCCACACTGGGGATCAAGCCTGCACTGGGCATGTGCCTCGACTAGGAATCGAACCCTGACCTCCTGGTTCATAGGTCAACGCTCAACCATTGAGCCACACCAGCTGGTTCAACTTTTAACTAAAAATAAAAGTGAAAAGAAGATTGGCAAAGCACTAGATCTGACATAATAACCAAAAAAGGGGCAGATACACAGAATAGGCTGGTCCCACACCCACCTGTGGCGGTTTAAAATCGGGAGGCATGGCCAGGGGAGGCATGGCCTTGACCTAGTAACTCAGTTGGTTAGAGCATTATCCCAATACGCCAAGGATGCAGGTTTGATTCCTGGTCAGGGCACATATAAGAATCAACCAATGACTGCATAAATAAGTGGAACAATAAATCAATGTTTCTTTCTCTCTGAAAATAAATTAATAAAATAAAATTGGGCCCTGGCCAGTGTCGCTTGATGGTTAGAGTGTCAGCTCGCACACCGAAGGGTCACGGGTTTGATCCCCAGCCCTGGTCAGGACATGTGTGGGAGGCAGCCAATTTATTTGTCTCTCTCACATTGATATATGTCTCTTTCTCTCTCTCCTCCCCCTCATCTCTGTCTCCCTTCCACTCTAAAAATCAATGGGGGGAAAAAATCTAGGTGAGGATTAACAAAAAAATAAAAAATAAATATAAGACAAGTCCCCATAACTTCTGGCTGGAAAGACCACCAGGGACTGTGGCTGAGGGAGATGAAGGGCTGCTAGAATCCCAGGCAATTCCTCTTAAAGGATCCATGCATGGACTTAGTCCAACTCACTCCCTTTAAGCTCCAGTGATGGGGTAGCAGCTTGAAAGGAAACAGGGACTTATGAGAAGGAACTGAATTGTCTGTCATGAGGGCAAGAGCAGGGGAGGGGGCAGCTTACTGCCAAAATGAAAAGTGCAGGCAGAAGCCTTATCTGAGTCTCCATTAACCTGGCTCACACTCTTTACCACACCCAGTTTGTGGACCCACCCAGGCCATTTCCAGTGGCTTTTCCTTACAAATGGCCTCTCTTGCCTTATGCTTCGAACTTACTGAAAACCTCTCAAACATGCAGCATCTGGCCCCTGCATATCCCATACCTCTTGCTAAGTGGCCTCAGGCCCAGCACTATCAACAGCCAACCTTGGTTCACAGCTTTGCCTCTCCTGGGTACCTCCAAGCCCAACATAAGTAGCAGCCATCTGCAGATCACTCTATAGCTCAATGCCAGGTGGCTGACCTTGCACTTCCTGGGAGGTTCCACAGCCAGGGCATCCAGGGGACAGCTGCAGACCATACCAGATTGCAACCCTACCAACTCCAAGTGATACACTCAAGGGGCAGACTCCTGGACATCAAAGCCCCACTGAAGCATGTATTGCTCCACAGGATCCACTCCTGCACAGCAGCTCCTCTGCTGTAGTTGCAGCAGGGTCTCACAGCCGATCGGCCTGGGAGTCCATCCCTCTCAGTGAGGCCAAAAGCAATCAACACTTAACTACAACAGGACAGTGCACACAGCTCAGACAGGAGCGCACCTGGAGTGCCCAGCTCTAGTGACTCAGGAAGGTGCACCATAGGGCCCTACAGGACACTTACGACAAAAGGCTATTCTACCAAGTCCAGGAGACATAGCAGTTCTAATACATAGAAACAAACATATGCAGACACGAAAAAATAAGTTCCAAATGAAAGAACAAGAGCAATCTTCAGATAAAGAACTAAATGAAATGGAAGCAAACAACCAAATACAGAGTTCAAAACAATGGAACTTAGTGAGAACTTCAACAGCATGAAAAAGGACAAAGAAACCACAATAAAGAATCAGTCAGAAATGAATAGTTCATTTACTAAAATGAAAAATAATTTACAAGGAATCAACAGTAGTGTAGATGATGATGAGAATCAAAGCAGCAATTTGGAATACAAGAAAGCAAACAACAACAAAACACTCAATCAGAACAGCAAAAAGAAAAAAGAATCCAAAAATATGAAGATAGTGTAAGGAGCTTCTGAGAAAACTTGGAAGCATGCAAACATTTGCATCATGGAAGTACCAGTAGGAAAAAAGAGAGAATAAGGAATTGAAAACCTATTTGAAAATAGGACAGCCCTGGCTTGTGTGGCTAAGTGTTTAGAACTTTGGCCTATGCACTGAAGGGTTGCGGGTTTGATTCCCAGTCAAAGGCAGGGGAATTGAGTTGCAGATTCAATTCCCAGCCCTGGTCAGGGCATGTGGAGGAGGCAACCAATTGATGTGTCTCTCTTGCATCAATGTTTCTCTCTCTCTCCCTCCTTCCCTGTCTCTCTCTCTCTTGCCCCCTCCTCACTTCCCTCCCTTCCACTCTCTGAATATCTTCTGGTGAGGATTAACAACAACAACAACAAAAAGATAGAACATATCCCTAACCTGGTGAAGGAAATAGACACACAAGTTCAGGAAGTGCTGAGTCCCAAACAAGATGACCCAAGGAGGCCCAAACCAAGACACATCATAATTAAAATGTTAAAGACAAAGAAAGTGTCTTAAAAGCAGCAAGAGAAAAACTGTTGGTTATCTACAAGAGAGCTCCCATAAGACTGTCAGTTGATTTCTCAACAGAAACTGCAGGTCAGAAAGGAGGTTGCAAAAAATATTCAAAGTGACGAATAGCAAGGACTTACAACTAAGATTACCCAGTAAACCTATCAGTTAGAATCGAAGGACATATAAAGAGCTTTCCAGACAAGAAAAAGTTAAAGGAGTTCACCACCAAACCAGCATTACATGAAATGTTAAAGGGTTTTCTTTAAGAAGAAAAAAAAAAGATTAAAAAAATGAACAATAAAATGGCAATAAATATGTACCTATCAACAGTTGAATCCAAGAAACAAAATAAGCAAACAAGCAGAACAAAACAGACTCACAGATACAGAGAACATTTTGAAGGTTGCCAAGATGGGAGGGGGGGTTGGAGGAATGGGTGAAAAACGTGAAGGGATTAAAAGTACAAACTGGTTTTTATGAAATAGTCTTGGGGATGGAAAGTATAGCATAAGGAATATAGTCAACAGCATTCTAATAACTATGTATGGTGTCAGATGGCTATGAGATTTACTGAGATGACCACTTAATAAGTTATATAATGTGTAATCACTGGGGTGTACACTTGAGACTAATATAATAATGTGTGTCAACTGTAACTGAGAAATAAACAAATGATTATTTTTAGTTCTGTGACATAGCAGATTAGGAGAGTGTCTCACAGTAAATTTAATTCCTTGTATAAAATATGGAAATGGTAAATGGTAGTATTAACACTCACTGTTTAATCCCTTTGGCTCTTTTCGGCCTTTTTCTTCCTTGTCCAAATCATGCCTTTTTTGATATTTTTCTTTGGATTCGTTTTTTTTGGTCTCTTTCTCCTGAAAGAGAAACATGTAAGACCCAGAAGAGGAACATATAAGAGCTCATACCACTTGACACTGACACCTCTGTGTGCCATAGAACCTGACCCTGATGATTAAATCTTGTTCACATAAACTGCTTCTCCAAGCGAGATTATCCCTCAACAATTTAAAAAACGTCAAATTCAAAACCCAACACCAATGTCAAGTCTATGTTGAGGTTTTTTTACTATCAAAAATAAAGAAAATTAAAAAAAAATGGTACCCGCCCTAACCGGTTTGGCTCAGTGGATAGAGCATCGGCCTGCAGACTCAAGGGTCCCAGGTTGGATTCCCGTCAAGGGCATGTACCTTGGTTGCGGGCACATCCCCAGTGGGGAGTTTGCAGGAGGCAGCTGATCGATGCTGCTCACTCTCTATCCCTCCCCCTTTCTCTCTGTAAAAAATCAATAAAATATATTTTAAAAAAATGGTACCCTACAATCCTACTAACCAAACATGACTTTTTATTTCTGCACATTCTTACCTTCTGGATGTTCTGATTTTGCAGATAACTTCGTTGTTTAAAATTTATTTTAAAAATTTACATTGCACAGATATTTTTACATCACTATGTTCATATGTATGTATGGTTTTCTTCACCATAAAATTTTGTACTTTTGATCTCATGATTAATATTTCTGTGGATATATAATAGTTCTCAAATTGATACAACATTTTCTTAACCATTTCCTCATAGCTAGACAGACTGGTATTAGTTTTTGTGAAAATAATACTACTATATATTTGTCTACAAAACTCTTTCTCCCTTAAAAAAAATTTCCTTAAGTCTACAAAACTGGGAATAATGAATGAAAAAAAATTCACCATTTTTATAGCCCTTGATATGTGAATACCTTCATAATGTGTAAAATAGTTTCATTTTGAAAACCCATAGGAAAATAACTTTTTAAATAAGGGGGCAAATTATTTAATATATTTTTGTAAGAAAAGACTTTTAATTGTTAGTGTACTCAGTGCACTATTATGTGAGTAAAAAGTGGTATATTCTTAAGACAACAGGGGGGAAATATGAAGTAGGATGTGAAAAGCTATAATGTTACTAGGCACACTAAACGCCCTAACAGGAGAAAAATTGTTCCTACTGTTCAGTGATGGCGAACCTATGACACGTGTGTCAGAGGTGACACGTGAACTCATCTTTTTTGGTTGATTTTTCTTTGTTAAATGGCATTTAAATATATAAAATAAATATCAAAAATATAAGTCTTTGTTTTACTATGGTTGCAAATATCAAAAACTTTCTATATGTGACACGGCACCAGAGTTAAGTTAGGGTTTTTCAAAATGCTGACACGCCGAGCTCAAAAGGTTCGCCATCACTGCTATAGTTCCACTGTTTCCTCATTATTAGTGAAACTTCCTGACCACTCAAAAGAGCGCTAGCTAGATGGGAATATTGCTTATCCTATAAGATTTTAACACATAGTCCTTCAACCAAACCCTCCGGGAGTACTCACTTCTCCAGCAGAGTCAGTGGACCGGAGGCCCCTCTCCTCCCCACCCACCCTTGAGCTCTTTTGTGTCTGGGCCAGTGAAGATGTCAGATTATCTGACTCAGTAGTACTTCTGCTTTTGTCTTGATTCCTCTGCTTTTTATGTGCATTTTTCTTCTCTAAAGAAAGGTTCTTGTTTTCTAGCTTTTTGCTCTCTTTAAGTTCCTCAGCCTTTCTGGGTTTCTTTTTGTTTCTCCTTCCTCTGACATCAGCATCTTCATCAGCACTTCCGGGGCTGTCCAGGTGTTTATCTAGAACAGCATCTTGAGCTGCATCTATCCCTGCTTTGTCTTTTCCACTTTTAATCTTTAGTTTCTCTTCTCTGTTGTCAGACTGTAAATCTTCACTGTCCCCCTCCTGAAAGGGGAGATCATTAAGTAGATCTGATTCAGAGTCCAACTGAGATTCAACACATTTCTCTTTTCTTGTTTTTCTGTTTTCTTTGGAATCTTCTTTTATTTTAGTCTTTAAATCTCTTATTTCACCCTTTTTAACTTTCTTTAGTTCCTTAGTTTCTTTTATATCATCTTTTTTGGGCTTTTTGGATTCCTTTAATTCTTCTTTGGCTTCTGAAATTCTTTTCTTTGTCCTTAAATCAAAAAATGAAATTTCAGAGTTCTCCAAGTCTGGTTTGGATTTCTCTTTTAGTTTCCCAGGCTTTGCTTTTTTCTTCTTCAGATCATCTGGACTTTTCTCTTCTCTCTGCTTTAATTTTTTCTTTTTCTTTTTTGGAGAAGTATCTTCTTTTGTCTCACTTTGCTGATCGCTATCAGAGTTTGCCTCAAATATGTCATTATTTAAAGATAGTCTCTATAAAACAGAAAATATTTAAATACTCATTAACATAGTAATTCAAAAGTTTTTGGAAAGTAGTACTAATTATATATGGTAGAAATGTCTTTTTTCTCCCCAGCAATTTCTCGACTCCTTAAAATTATTTACCTAAACAGAAGTTGCTTAGTATTACTTATATCTCTGATTTGGCAAATAAGACTTGGTAGTGATGATGACCCTCAATTTAAGAAAATAGATAAACACATACAGAGGAACAAAACTGTTAGCATTGCTGAAGATCTGAAACTAAAGGTCAACCCTATGAACCAAGAGTTCAAGGTTTGATTCCCGGTCAGGGCACATGCCCAGGTTGCAGGCTCGATCCCCAGTGTGTGGTGTGCAGGAGGCAGCTGATCAATGATTCTCTCTCATCACTGATGTTTCTATCTCTCCCTCTCTCTTCCTCTCTGAAATCAATAAAGAAAAAAATAATAAACAATAAAACAACTTCAAAACAAAAAAAAAAGTCTTATGTATGGTGATGGTACTGGTGGTGGTGGTGGTAGGGAATGGGGTTGTACATGATTTGAACCTCAAAATACTCCAAAACACCAAGTAATTTGTACAGACTTTCTTGGTTGCCGAAAAAGTATTTACCAATCCAAACAAAATTTTGTTTTATTTTTTTAAGATTTTAGGTCCCAGAATAGTCATAAACTTGCTGTTAAACTTCACTGTTGCATATGGAATGAGCTAAGATGGCATCCAAATTTCACCTCCACAACTGATATGCTATACAGTTGATCCTTAAACAACACAGGAGTTGGGGGGTGGGGGGGAAACAGACTCCTGCACACTCAAAAATTAGAATATAACTTTGAACCCACTAAAACTTTACAGTCATGCTTCAGTATCCATGGGACCCCCACCTCCACAGATAAAAAGATATATGGATGCTTGTCCATTATATAAAACTAGGGGCCCAGTGCAAGAATTCATGCACCTTGAAAGGAATTGTGGGCTGCCAAGCTGCGGTGGGCACAAGGGCGGGTCTCGGCCCATCCTCTGTGCCCCCACCCGGCCCCTCCCGCCGCGGACACCAGAGCCCTCTCTGCTGGCAGCCCTGCTGCCACTGCCACTGCTCCTACATGCTGATGGTGCTGATTCTGCTTGCACCTGCTGACAGCTTGGAGCAATTGGGGCTGGCACCAGCAGTGGGTGCAAGCAGGACAGGCGCTGTCAGCGGCTGCTGCCCTAATCACCCCTCAGGAGCAGGGGGAGGTGGAGAAGCCTTCAGGGGCAATCAAGGCCGGCAGCTGCCGCTCGCAACCACTGATGGTGCTGAGCCATCGGGGCTGGCGCCAGGCGCCGGCAGCGGGTGTGAGTGCCGGGTGGGACCGTGGTGCGCAGGAGCAAAGAATTTTCAGTAACCACCAGAGGCTCACCCCGATGACAGCAACTGGTGCCCCCTGCCTTGGTCTGGTGCCCCCACTCACCTGCTCCACCATCTGGCTGCAGCCAATGCCCGCCATGTTCCACACTCTGCAGCCTGTTGCCGATGCCCACCATGCTCTATGCGCGCGCCCTGGTGGTCAGTGCACGACATAGCAACTGGTTGTTCAGTTGTTTTGCCGTTTGGTCTATTTGCATATTAGGATTTTATACACACACACACACACACACACACACATATATATGGCACATATCAATGTACACACAGTGGGACCTCACATCCACGGACTCCCACAGTTGAATCTGTAAATGGGAAAACTGAGAATAGGGAGGGTTGGGCTAAAGGTATATTTATTGAGAAAATCCGCACATAAATGGACCTGTGCAGTCAAACCCATATTGTTCAAGGATCAACTGTACTTCAAATTAGGTATGGACTGGGAGACAGGGAGAAAAAGGTACTAATTAACAAATAAATGAACCTGTTTATCAAATTGATAATATAACCAAACACAATAATTAATCCAAGTAACTTTAACACTAAACACCCTCAGTGAATTTTGTATGTACAAAAAAAACCCCTGCAACTAAATTTGGAATTTTACAGTAAGATGGGTGTAACAAATCTGAAGCTAATTCCTAATCATTGTTGTACCCAGTGCAGATAATGTTGATGGGAACCAGTATTCTCAGAGTATAAAAAGGGAGCTAGAACAATGACCAATGTGAATGAGAGGAGGACATTGTAGTGATGGACTGAAATTACATATATCAATATTAATTTATGATTTAAAACAAAAATGTACGTTTTCCTTAAAGGGCTTAGAAATAATGGTACCCTAGTAGCAGTGAATACATCTTGGCTTCTAAACCCTATTCCCCTCTAGAGAATGAGTGCTGAAGCAGAAAAGTTCATGGCAAAGCAAGGATTTGGTCAAAACTGACAACGGAATATCAAAAGGACACAGGAGCTGGCTTGAAGGGGCTCCCACTAGATAAATTAGGAACCATTTTAGCATTAAGATGAATAACAACAGGAATGGACACAACACACTGACTAAAATGATTCCATGAGTGTACTGACACTGAGAGGGAAGGGCTTCCCTTTATAAGACACAGACTGAAAAACACAGAATAACAAATAGAAAAATCAATATTTTGCAACCAACACAGTAAAAGCTAATTGAGGCAAGAATCATCCAAGTATTTTAAAATCATGGGGTGATAGGTTGTTGGGGAATAAGAGATTCTCACAGTTTCAAAGATTACAGCCAAGCTTGGTTCTTGCACATCTCCCATCTTGAACAATTCAGTTCTCTACCAAATTGTTCATGGGTAAAAATGTCTCTGTTGTTGAACAAGCTTCAGTTTTTTACCTGACAACCCTTTCCTACTGTATATCAGCATGACAAAAAGCATCTCTCAGGTCACAAAGAAAGAAGAAAATGCTCTAGATAGAGTCAGTTTATGGCTAACATCTCAAGATATTGTGCTGTGAATATTTAAAAAAAAATATTTTTATTGACCTCAGAGAAAGGGAGAGGGAGAGAGAGATAGAAACATCGATGATGAGAGAGAACCATCGGTTGGCTGCCTCCTGCACATCCCCCCACTGGAGATTGAGCCCATAAACCGGGCATGTGCCCCTGACCGGAATTGAACCTGTGACCCTTCAGTCCACAGGCCGGTGCCCTATCCACTGAGCCAATCCGGCTAGGGCATGCTGTGAATATTTTTGTGGGTTTTTTTTTTTTGCTTTTGTTGCTGGCAAATGGACAATTAGCACAATTTTAAAACAGAACGAGGCCATCAAGAGTGCTAATGTTACAAATAGTGTGAAAGAAATAATGCTCTTGCACATTATTCATGGTGGCCAAGACATGGAAACAACCAAGGTGTCCTGTGACAGAAGATTGGATAAAGAGGATGTGGTACATCTACACAATGGAATATTTTTCAGCCATAAGAAAGGATGAAATACTGCCATTTGCAACAACATGGATAGACCCTGAGAATATTATACTAAGTGAAATAAGTCAGAAAAAGCTAAGAACCATATGATTTCACTCATATGTGGGATATAAAACAAACTCATGAACACAAACAGCAGTGTGATAGTTGTCAGAGGGAAGGGGGTGGGAGAAAAGGGGGACCTAATATATGGTCACAGATTTGAGTTCTAAATTTAATTTTTAAAAAAAGAAAAGAAAGAAACAATGATTGATCACAGGCAATTGAAGAGGCAGAAAAACTATTGATTTGGATAAATGAAAACCACTTGGCCGGTGACAGCATTTCGGAGGCAATGACATGTGAAAAAGCTAAGACGCTGCATACTGACCTCCTGAAAGACAACCTGGAAAGGAGTGTTGACAGTGACTCGTTTAAGGCTAGTAGGGAGTGGTTCGATAAATTTAAGAAAAGTGTTTATTTATAGGTTCAACAGTACTGTATTAAACATGTACTGTATTTAAGAAAGGTTTTTAAAACAGAATCATTTGGGGGTCTGGGACGAATTAATTCAATTTACATGATTTCTAATGGGAAAAAATTATTTGGTTTTGGAACAAACTGCTTCTCCAACAGCCTTACGGAATGAATTAAGTTCGAACACCGAGATTCTACTGTACTTATTATTTATTATCAGGTTACTTAATATTTTAAAAGTAAAAATGTATTTTTAAAAAGGGTGAAAAAAATAATGGGTCTGATTATCATTTAACTATAATTTATAATCAGCAATAAATTAGAAAACTGACATAATCCTTTTTTAAAAAATCCTCACCTGAGGACATTATCTTAGAGAGAAGAAGGGAGAGAGAGAGAAATATCAATGTGAAAGAGAAACATCAATTGGATGCCTTTTGTAGGTGCTCCAACTGGGGATCAAACCTGCAACTCAGGCAGCACATGCCCCGATGGGGAATCAAACCGGCAACCTTTCTGTGCAGTGGACAATGCTCAACCAACTGAGCCACTCCAGCCAAGCTGACATCCTATCTTGATGTAATTAAAGTACACCACACTGAATCTAATCAAGAGAAAGCAAATCGTCTTATTCCAATTTTAAAAAATACTGTTTATTTGTGATTTAACATTAATTTTCACTTAATTCCAATTTAAATGATCTTCTATGAAACAACTGGCCTAAACTCATAAAAACTGTCCACATCATGAAAGACAAAAGGCTATGGATGTGTTCTAGACTAGGACAGGAAACTAGAAAGACATGAAACGAAATGCCCTGCATAACAGGAAGCAATAAAGGACCTTCAACAAGGACAATGGGGAACACAATGATGTGTCAGCTAGACATCAGACAACAGTGTTGCTGATGTAATGCTACTGAGAGGTACAGTAAGGAACCTGAATTTTCCTGAGGACGTCTCTGTTGTTATGAGACACATGCTGAGGAATTAAAGATATAGGTTATCATGTCCTCATACTACAACTACCTGTTTTGTTTTGTTCTTTTAAAGGATGTGTTTTTTATTTTATGTATTTTTTTACTGATCTTAGAAGGGGGGTGGGGGGCGATAGAGGAATAAACAATCAACTGAGCCACCGCAGCCAGGGCAACAAAT